ATACTTTTTAATCCATAGGTCATCATGGTTGTATGGTAGCGAAGTATCAGCTCAAATGGCTGATGTACTGCTGTTGTTATCCTTGTTGTTGTTGCTGCTGCTGATGATGATACCACGGTAAATGAACCTATCCACCACTCCCAGCGACTGCTCGGTGATAGCTAGAACCTGAAGTGTGTCAGTTCAGTGCTGCGGCTTACTTTGCACTTTGAATGTGCAAAATGCATGCCGAAGTGTGCAGCGCTACGCATCAGTCTATCAAGTTTGCATAGCCACTGCGTCGAACCCAAGGCGAGCTATGTCGTCCGCATATTCAGTTTGTCAGTCGATCACCTGGCAGAACTACTCCGGCAGGGTGTGAAAGAACGGAATCATTCATGATCATTTCGACAACAAAGTTGAAGAGAAAGGGGAATATAGGACAACTCTGGGGGACCCTACTTGTCGTGGGGGACTCAGGAGATTGTTTCCCATAGACCCTTACACAGCTTCCGGAGTCACGGGATAGCGACTGTATAGTGAGAAGGAGTTTTAGCCGGCACGCGCTTCATGAATAGACAGTGTCAAGCTGGCGCGGTCAGCAGTGTCGAAGGCGACATTCAAATCAAGGAGAACCATTATAGTCGGTCGTCTGTGTTTGTCTATGCTCTAACATTTGGCGAAGAGCAAATATATGGTTAATACAACCAGGACCAGAGCGGAATGCAGCCTGGCTTTCAGTGATTCGGTTCTGACGGGTACCAGTCGTCGGAGTATGTTATATATGCGCCGTTTGGAGGCAGTGCAAACAAGGCCAATAACTCGACGATTTTCGCACAAAGTGCGCTGACCCTTCCTGAATACGAGCACGACATTTGACAGTCGCTAGTCTGAAGGCATCTCTTCAGTGTTCCAAGTCGTGTTAATTAGAGAAACAAGTCAAGTCTACAAAGAGTCCCCTCCATCTTTTAGCCAAAATGGAAGAAAGTCGTCGGGTCCAGGAGTTTTGTTTCTTTTCAACACAGGAGGCTCATGTCGAATCTCTTCCACAATTGGTGGTGTGACATACTTCCCACGTCGGCTCAGGCGATTCGGCAGGCGGTAGTGTCGTAGCAGGCTTTCTGAACTGCTGTTCAACATGTTCCGCCCAACAAGCTAGTCGACGACACCGAGAATGGATCAACAGTCCGTCTTCCTCAGCTATTGTTTCGCTAAACGATGGCTTTCTCGGACCCATGTTCCGAATGAGCTAGCGTAGCACTCGACTGTTTCTTACAGTACTAACTTTCTCCATCTTACAGGCTGTCACCCACCAACGTTCCCGGTCGATTTGAAGACCCATTGTCAGACGTCCTTTCAGAGTTACGGACACGCTAAAACCCTATGCTCATCGGAACCTGTTTCCGTGCTCCGATCAAACTGATCGATGTCTCAGAGATACATTCACAGTTACGTCTCAAGTTGGTGCACAGCATACGTCAGATACATTCTTTATTTCACATTTGGATGATCCAAGTCAGCGTTCAGCTCACCAGCCTAATTTATCATTGACATTTGGTGGGTCAGTTCGTCATGATATTGTTGTGCTTTACCCCGCAACGTCGCTTCGCTACCACGTGACCACTATCAATCGAGCGCGGCTGATTATACCGCGAGGACGCCTACCCCTACGTGGATTCGAACCGGTGACCTTATGGTCGCAAACCAGACACGCAGGCACTCTCCCACCGGCCGACTGTAGACTGCGAGTTCAAGTTACGAGGAAAGTTAGAAGATAAGCGCTTCTTTGTAGTGAGAAGAGTGAACGCCAAGCGTGCGCGCACTGTGCATGGTCAGAATCTAGGCACCTGCTTCAATTTGTCTGATGGTCTTGTACTGATGTGCGCCACCTGCAGCTGATGGTAATATGGTTATTTTGGGTCCAGGTAATTGAAGAATCCGGTGGGCGCCAAGTGACGCGGTATGAACGTTTGTGCTGGGATGCAGTGCTGCTACGATAAAGGTTTTGGTCGGTGCACAGTTGCAGGAATCCATCACCATTGTCTGTTCGGCTTGCATCGACTCCGGAATGGCCGGCCAGTTGTTGTTGAGCGTCTGAGAGACGACCCACTCTGGCATTCATGTCACCAGCAACAATCACCATGTCAGTATTTTTCACCATGGGAAGAAGCGATAAAAGCTGTCGATAGAAATCGTTTTTGATACCCTCTGAACTGCATTCAGTAGGGGTTATGGACTGAGTCAATAAAAAGACACCTTGTCTTCAGACGCTCCTTATTAATTGTAATAGAGGTTCTAAGTCGAACCGCACACATGCGGCTGCTCACTGGTATCCAGTTGAGCTGATTTCCTTTAGCATGTGTGCTGAGGGCCATACCAACACTAGATACCTTGAACCATTGATTTAGTGTTAATAGGGACGTGAAGAGTGTAGTCATCGTCGTCAGATTCAGAACTAGGAAGTGAAAGATTTGTCACGGAGATGCTGTCCTACATGCGTGTTTGGGCGACACAGCACACAACAATGCTGAGAGAGTGAAGAGTGAGTTAGTGCTGCCTGCCGTCTGATCTGAAGTAGGGTGCGGACGTTAAAGTAACCAATGTGGCATAAAACTAGGTTTGATGGAAGGACTACATGTATCGATGACGGCAGCTGCGAGGTCAGTGGCAGTCTCTTGCTCAATAAACAAGGAAGATGAGGGTTGAGAGGGGAACAGCGAGAAGAGGAAGTATTGTCGACGTAGTCGAGAGGGCAGATGATACTGTTCTGCGGCCCATTCCGAGAGAGGGGTTCTATGCCAGCTGCCTTACCTCTAGCCTTTGACGCGAAACTTATCCACAAAGCAGTGGGGTACATGAAGATTCGTTTGAGGGACTCAACCGGGAGCCTTTGGCCCAATAGCCTGAACCAGGAGGCGGTGAGGAGCATGTCCTGCTGGGAAAGGTGATTTCAGAGACCAGTTGGGATCTGCTTGAGACCTATCGCACACAGCCTTTGGAGATTTAGAACAACGCACGTGTTTTACGACTGTATTATGTTACGCACCTGCGACCACGACCAATCGCAGGTGGGAGTTATCAGGTTTGCACCAATGTGACCATGGAGTGTGTGGCTTGAAGCGGGCTGTAGGGCTTTCAATTTTCTTATTGATAATATTCATCTACACACATCGTGTTCGACAATCGATCATTGGATTAAACACATGTGTAGGATCCAATTGGATTGGCAATCGTCCTATGGAATTCGTTTTTTTTCATTTTCGACGAACCGGAGTATCTAACCGCTCTCTGCTTGCAACTGCCAGAATTGAAGTTCGCCTATTGAGACAACTGCGTTGGTTTTCCACTCTTACCCCAACATCTATGCTGAATCTGCCATAATTCAGTACTAATAAGTAGAAGGATTTTGGTGCGCTTTTATTTGGTTCCTCGCAAATGGATTACAAGCTGCATAGGACTCAAACCGGTGATCTTATGGTTGCGAACTAGGCGCGCAGACCACTCGGCAACCACCCGACGATAGAAGTCGTCTTTTACCGAATCGTCGTTAGAGTTTGTGGGCTCGTAGGCAGCGATGATGAATAAACAGCTATTAGTCCCGCACGACTTCGAAGCCTTGAACGAGCCAGCCAATCGGACCGCACACATTCGGCTGCTGAGTAGGATTCAATGAACCAGAGCATCTTCACTTCGCGGACCGAGGACAATACTAACGCCCGTTTGGCTGGTATTTGAAGTTGTATCGTCTCCGGATAGGCGCAACAAGAAAGCACTGCTGGTGTCACCTGACGTGGATCGCAAAGCGAGCACAGAGCTTGAGTCTTGCAAGCGGGTTTCCGATAAGCATCAAATATCGATCATGAAGGTCTCTAGTCTTCGGACAACTGCTGTCTGTTGACCACCTGTAACAATGTGCGTACGTTGAGGCATGCCAATCTTAGGGAGGATCGAGGGCTTCAAATAGAAGTCGATGATCTGGGCTTGACCGGTTGGTTGGACGTGGACTTGGCGACGGGTAAGGAGTGACGCTCCACGTTTGCATTTGAGTTGAAACTAGAAGCGAAATGGCTATCAAAGTATGGTGGGTATTGTAAACGTGGGGCGAGGGGGGATGAACGAGAAGTTGAAACCGGACGACAAGGGTGTAAAAGCGTTAGAGTGGGGAATAGGATGACGGAAAGTCTTGAACAGTATTACCCAAACCCCTATCCACTCTGCTGCATACAGCAGATCGGGCGCCGTTTATTACCCTCTGGGACGGCTAGAACATCAAGAAATTGTTTAATGAAGGTTTCATAATATTGCGCTGGCAGGATACTGTCAGGTTGCCAAGGCCTAGACAGGAGAACGATTAGGATTCTCAACCAAGGGTTTTGGTTCAAAAACCTGACCGCAAGGCAGCGGGTTTGATAGTGAACTACAAGAAGTCCGTTTTAAGGAATAAGGAGTTACCCTCACTCCTGCAGGACCAGGAGGCTGAGTTTGTCTGTCCATTGACCAATCTGGTATGATTGACTTTGAAGACGCGATAACACCACCCAGTACTACTCGGATCTCAGGCACGCAAAACATCGCATCATGGTAAGGTCCAGCCTGATTGTGACGGTGCGCATTCCTTCGATTCCCCGCTGGGGATCGAACCCATGACCGCTAGTGGCTTGCACCACTAGTCAGCAGCTTATGCCATTGAGCCATTGGGGACGATAACCGATCATCACAGATTGAAACCTAACTGCGGTATGGCCCGATCTATCCTCCACTGCCTGTGCAAGGGACACTATTTGACCGTCCGGGTCAAGACTTCTCTTGACAGTGTTGTGAATCCACACAGCATTTTGAAGACCGAGTCCCAACAGGACGAAACGATCGTCTGGTGCTTTTCCGAATTTGTAGTTTACCTATGCGACTTGTAATCTGATTGCTGTGGACCAACTAATTCATTACCTCTCCTCTATATGCATGTTACTAGCATTTCTCACACATTATCCACTTCAGGTTTATTTCAACTTCTAATATTTTAGCTCTGTCTATACAAGTAGTGTACAGACGCCACGCTTGCTTTTCTTCCCGGCTGTTTTCTGCTGTACTCACGCTGAAGTAGAGATTTCCCACTGCCGCGCAATTTAACAACATGGCGGAAGTGGTGGAGAGAAATTTGGAGGGTTCAGTGGATGAACTGCTCTACATCAGAAAGGCCAAATTGTTCAACAAGCAGGAGATAAAGTAAGTTGGTTGATAATTTCCATATATTCTAACCGATTTATCTGCAGTGGGTACTATTGAAACTACGCATACAAATAAAAACAATAGCATCAGCAGTACGCTGTACTTACGCTTCGCTGCTGCGCAACCACCACCAGTTGCACGTAGGCTAAGGATACTACGAGGGTTGCCCTGTCCCTAAGCAGGCTGGAATCCGCGTCGTCAGATTACAAGGCAAGCTTGTTACCTTTAAGCTACGGGCCGGCATATAAATGAACACGATCTCAAGATATCCCTACCTTGGGCTTGTGCTGCATTATTTAGGTGACATTGTGTTTATACTTGACAGCTGAAGTTACAGAAGGCTTAAGGTTCACTAGAACAATCAAACACTGCTTACCAAGTAATTGTCGTGGTGCTTTGGTAACGAAGTTGTGGGAGGCTTGTCTATCCTTACCATTGCACATAACTATTGCTTCTGCCTCCTTTTGAACCTCTTCTGGAAACAGTAGTACGCCAGTACCTTGTACGGGTTCATCGATGCAATACAATCACAATAGCCGATCATAATAGCCGTAATGATAACAATAAGAGGAGGATGCGAAGTTACTGCAAAGTCTATTTGCTCCAATCCGACGTTCATTATAAACGCACCTACATATTGCCAACAACGCATGATCACAACCAGTTGGCCGTAGTGTGGGGGTGAGGATGCGTCGGCGAGTCAGTCTCCTTGCGACTTTTATTGCCGCATTGTAGTCAGCCTTACTTCACAGATAACTCAGTAATATACATGATGTATACATTCCGGCTACGAAGCGACAGCAGCCACGCGACTGGTACTGGCTGAGAGCCATGCAAAATTGGTATCGCGGGGATCGCAGACTGGAAGGTGAGACGGACAATTAGCACCAAAGGCAGTGACCATTTACCTCAATCCACATCGTCAAATCAACGGCTACCCTCGTTCAGTTTCGTTAAACCACCTAAACCGCAAGTAACAATGGGTCGAAAGTGAGGTAGGGTGCGGAGTTAATTCAAAGAGGTGAGAGTTAAGAACGAAACGGTTAAAGTAAGTTATGACGGAGTATTAACAGCCAAATACAAGCAACCGAATGCAGGAATACAGTTGATTGCCCCTTGTCCGGTGAAGTTTCCAAACGGATGTGGACCATTCCGAGGCCCCATCCACGAGGAAGTTATGCACTAACCTGACCAAGTCTTTTGGTTAATTTTTTCATGTCTGTGTGCCATCATCAACTGACAACCTCATGGTTTCGCCCAGCTTGCTGCAGCTCTAGGGTATAATAGACGGAGGAATGCAGTCAGCGAGCATACGGAGGACATAACCTACCCAACACATGCGGTTAAGCTTCAATAAACACTCAGTAGAGCATCAAAGGGTTTCTTGTCAAACACCAACTGATGCAGCTAGGCATTGTTCATCAGTTGTTCCCACCAGATGTCTTCAATACAACCATCTTCATTACTCGTTAGCTGTGGGCAAGAAACACCTCAGCTAATATGCCTTCATAAAATAACTGTAAGATATTAACCATTGCAGGTTGTAAAAGCTAAAAAAGTAACATACTGCTATGTATCACACTATACATTGGACATGAGATCGTTGTTCGATGAGGAGGGACAAAGGAACTCGAAGCACAAACCTCATTGTGGCCTGCTCTTCGTCATGTCAGCATGCGTACCTAACCAGACGTATTCAAAATTCATGAGATCCCAGGTCTGCGGTCGGGAGGCACCAACTGACACCTAGTTCGAAATGAGCGTTTTCATTCCTCTTGACCACGTCATCGCTTGGTCTCCCTTCCATTTCTTCCATCTACACCCCGGTCGCATAGACGGCAGGACGCTGGAGTCGATGTGTTGACATGAAGAACACGTGGCCCTGCCATCGGAGCCTGGTGCGTGAAATAACGGTGCTGAACGTTTCACTCGCTCTTCTGGCACCAAATATACGACGGACACGCTCATTACTCACGGGTTGTTCCCACCAGACATCACACTGGGGTGTGATGACTGAGTACTCACTTGTGGTTGCAGAAGTGAGTGCTCACCGACTCTAAAGTCGGTCACGTTGACTTCGACACAGTGTCTTACGAGCTGTTATGGTATTTAATAAGAAACCAGATGACCTGCCCAAAACCTCCACGCTCCAGCATGCTGCCGCTGATTGTCCGCAACTGCATAGCAAACGTGACTTATTCACTGTTATCTCCACAAGGAAGGCATTCCTTGGTACACAACCTGGGGACGCGCCTGGTGGCATACAGCTCCACCGAACCAACCACTAGTCAGTTCACTCCCGGGTTATCAAGTGATGAACCCTACTTTCGTTGATAATCTCTCTTTCGTACACATCACCTGACTATACCAATTCTGCATACGGGTAGCATTGTTATTTCCAGTGCATTATCGACTTTGTTTTGTTCCAGTTCCCAATATTTGCCTTCTCTTTTATTTTGATTTCAGTGAGTTAATCAGCAAGCGCAGACGACTTGAGTACGCGCTACAGAAACGCAACAAGCGTGTGCTGGACTACGACGCCTACATTGCAACTGAGTTAGTTGTGCTCAAGCTCCTTCGATTACGCCGCCAGGTGAGACCACTTCAACTTTGCCTCGATGTTAGTGACCACAGAAGGCGGATGATCGCCGATTTTTAGACAAAATCGAGCGTTCCATTATTTCTCGCCTCACTCGACTTCACCGAGTAAGTTGAATAGTCTTGAGACCCCGAAATCTGCTCTTCGTTTCATAGCAACTGTGCTATCGCTTTCAGTCGCGAATCGATGTGTGGATTCGCTTTATCCATTTTTGCAAAATTCTTGGTCGCCATGTCTCTGTGGTGCGTTTGTGGAACCGTGTGCTCCAAGTCCACGGGAGAACTGATCCCCGCTTGTGGATCGCCGCTGCGTCCTACCAGTTGCATTCCACGGCGAAGACCAAAGCGCGTTGCGAATTACGCCAGCTTGCCTCGGAAACCGAGCAATTGGCCGAACAGAAACGAAAGCTCAAGGACGAACTGAAAATTCTCACCCGTTTTGTCGACAAGCGTAATCAAAAACGCATTCAGGATGTGTTAGAAGAATTGCGTAAGTTATTTCAGATTTTCCGTGACTACGATCCGTCTTCTGCTTTAACTTCTTCCCCACTTTGCTTGCTTTAGGCTGTATTTTATGGTGGGAGTATAGGTTTACTGATTTCTGGTTGCCGACAACAACATACTGTAGTTCTTACTTTTACTCAGACAACCGTATACTTTCGATGAGTGCTTTGACACCTGAGTCATCATGCCCCTTACGTTGTTTCACTTTCTCGCTCGCTCAGGCTCTTTCATTATCATCCCATTTCATCTAGTTACAACCGGCCACTGCTTTACAGGTACGCAGATGATATGGTAAGTGGCAATTTGGAACCAAAGACCGTCCTTTCAGGAGTACGGCGCCAACTACAGTGGTGGGACGGAATTCGTTTTAAACGGATCTTTTACACCGAACTCCTGAGGCCCCTTTGTACTGACATTACTCGAAACCTTCTACTTTTCTCCACATTTTTTACAGTGAAACTGCAACATTCTCGCCACACACCATTTTGACTAGATTTCTAATGATTCTCCCTTAGTGATTATCTCAACACATTGTTGTTGAGCCCTTATTGTGGCAAAACACGCTGGTCGTATAATATTGCAGTCGAATTCTCGCAGGGACATATTTTACCATCACTACATTAAGCAAAATTCAAAAGCTCCTTAAAATTCACACGCTATCTTTTTGGCTTTGTGTATACGTTAACGGTGGAGACCGTCAAACACTGATCGAAAACCTAGACTGAATCGGAGCATAAAGGGATGGATGCCTCTGCAGACTACCGAAAAGTCTTCCGCACTTACGAACTCTTTCCTAATCAGTACTCAAGGCCGTATCACCATCTGTATGAATAAACTCTTTTGGGCGCATTATTAATGCACTCACTCGCCTTACATGAAATACCAGCCGGAATAGAACGATTTTATTTTCTTTTTTTGAGATGCAACTCCGGCATCACATGCACATTTGATTGGTTTATGTCTGTTCATATATCAGCATAATAACTAAGTGTCTGATTCTCTGTCCCTACGCTGAAACAATCTCTCGATCTGTGTAGAAATAAAGGATTTATTTATTTGTCGCGTACACTTTGTGCGCTGCTAACTTAAATCCGTTGTTGACCGCTCATTTCGATTGGCCTGTCCGGATCCAGAGTCGGTGTATTTTTACTGGTCGTTGTTCACTTTCACCTATCACTCCACGACTGTGAACAGGCTTTCTTGGGAAATAACTCTTTGTTCGAACAGTGGGAACCGTTCCGGATCAATGAAACAGCTCACTTGGGATCTTAGAGATAATGTGAAGCGTTTTCTCGGCTTCAAGAACAAGACACTGAAGGTAAACAATTGCTTTCGATGAATTCCTCGTCAGACCTGTACAATCATATGGGGAAAAAGCAACGGAAGTAACATTGGTTTCGATCAGTTCAAATGAAATTGGATCACGTGCCAACTGGGGGCATAAACCAGCAATGGACCTAAACGATAGGCGCACACTAGGGCAAAGATGTAGTCAAATGATTCCTTCCGGCCTCCGAATCGTCCACTTTTTCCGGCCATGGTAACTTGAGAGCTTCGATCAGTTTCTTTTGTGAACACAAAAGCGGTTGATACAACCGAATACTGATCGCCTCAGCTGTATCGAGGGTACGGAGGCGCAGGCCTTTCGATTAGAGTGGCGGAACCTGGTAGAGTATTCGAAAGGCGCGGACTGGATCGACTTCGTGCCCACTATCAACTAGATGAGCCATAGTAGAGCTAGTAATAGCCCCGGTACCGCCTCGACGCAACCAGCGTGGAAGGTGCTCATTAATGCGCTTTGACAAGTGCCGAGCCGTTCGACCGATGTAAGTAGCGTCATAGGCGCACTCGAACTGATAAATGACCGTGGAAGCGGTCAGCATCGGCAATTTGTCTGTTGCAAATGCGAATGTGGGGTTCCGTTGAGAAAGTACATTTGAGCTTAGCAGCTGGAAAAGTTAACTTAATGGCTGTAGAAAGGCTTCTGGTTATACGTTCGGCGGCCGCGTCTCCTTTGAAAGGTAATCTTATAAATAGTTCTTTCTTCTCAGCTGTTAGAACCTGCACAGGGTCGGGTTTTTCTTGCATGTTCTTACTAATGAATCGATCAGGATACCCATTTTTGCGCAGCGCATTTTGAATGAACTCCAACTCAGTATCCAAGGTGTCTTCAGAACAAATCCTGCGGGCCCTTGTGGTTAAAGTGCGAATTAGGTTTCGCTTGTATCTCAAAGGAACGAAACTATGGAACTTCGTATACTGGCCACTCCAGGTTTTCTTTCTGTAGACGTGCCGTTGGATCGAACCATCTATCATACGAGTTAACAATACATCAAGGAACGGTAACCGGTTGTTCACTTCCTTCTCTCAGGTAAACTGCAATGCTGCGTGGGCCTGATTAAAGCGTTCAGTAACAGCGTCGATGTCAGTGGACTGATCGGCCACAACAAATATGTCATCCAGATAGCGATGATAACAATCAAAGGTGGTGATCTCCGCATGTAGTTTGGTGTTCTCTAGTTTTGCCATGAAGACATCGGCTTCCTATGTGACCAGCTTGTCCCTCAATAGCGGTCGTAGTGACCACCTTCCTAACACTGGATGAGGGTCCCTGACGCGGTGTATGTCATAAGTCGGAGTTATTCTGGGAGTTTTATACAAGTTAACCGTCTTTCACCATTGTTTCATTGGGTTTCGCGCGGTCTTCCCTGCTTCAAAAACCCAGTACGTATCGGTAACTCCTTATATACCTTTAGACCCGATTGTTCCCATATGGTTGGCGGCATCCGGTTTCGGATTTGCCTGTCACTGTGGCAAGCCACAGGACGCCTGCGCCTACAGAGGGACCATGGATGGCTTGCGCTGCACCAACCACAGCTCCAACCACACACCCCATATCCAGTGTAAACCCGAAGGAATAAGACCGGGAGGCATGTGGATGGGAGCCACGTTTCATCAACGGAGCCGGCCCACGCTCCTTCACAGGCAAACACAAGCACGCTGTATTTGGGGAATCAAGCGCACACAAGACGGTGGCTGGACCGTAGTCCGCGCCACACTGAGTGCATGGAACCAATCTTCGAGCCTAACACGGCCACAAGGACCGTGCACCCCGTCCCCTCCAGCAACGACCAACTGTCTCCTGGAGCCAGTATGGACGACGTAGTGGGTAATAGACAGGTAGGCACCTTGTCAACATGCACATCAAGCGCAGCCACACCGGGGATATCAAACAACAGCCAATCACTTGAGAGAGAGAAAGAAAAAGAGAAAAACTCGATTAATGCATGAGGAAACGGTGACATAAACCTTAATTAAATAGCATACGTAATAAGTTGTTTACAAACACATCCTAGCTAAGTGCACGAGGTCAGGAAGTATAGTTCACGGTATGCCACGAATACAAAAATGTTATGGAAATCGAATACAATTGGCTTAGGCGATGTGTGCAAGTTAATGGAATAGAGTACAGGGAGATATTTATATGAGAAAGAAAAGCAGTAAGGTAAAAACTGTAAACCCACCACCTGAAATAAAGAGACTTAGCATGCAAGCACGCGGTTAGTAAATCGAATTCAGCGTGCCTACAAACGCTGCGCCGGCTCGCCGTAATTCTCTGCAGGACCCGTCGTCGCTTCTGTAGTGGCCCCAAAGGACCTAGCTCATGGCCCACTAGACATTTATATGAGAAAGAAAGGAATTAAGAGAGAACCGAAAACCCACCACCTGAAATAAAGAGACTTGGCATGCAAGCATGCGGTTAGTAAATCGAATTCAGCGTGTCTACAAACGCTGCGCTGGTGCTGCCTACGTTCACTGCGGGACCCGTCGTCGCTTCGGCAGTGGTCCCGAGTGACCTCTCTCATGGCTCACTAGGCCTGCCTGACTAAGGCACTCGCGACCGCATGTTCTACAGCACAATGCGCTCGATGTCGATGGAGTACAATTCATCGGTGCTTGCCGCTTCCGCAACTGCCGCTTCTTCTCTGCATGCATGAGGTCTTTCTCCCGCACTTCAGCAACTGCCTTCGTGATTAGATCGCGCCACGCACGCCGATCAACCGCCTTCGATTCCCATGATCTGCAATCAAGATGAGAACGTGTGAGGCTCACTTTAATCATGTCCTGGTAACGTAACTTTGGTTTCCCCACGTGCCGCTTCCCAATACTCAGCTGACCGTATAAGAGTTGTTTCGGTATCCGCGTCGAATCCATACGGCTCACATGACCGAGCCATCTCAGGTGTCTCAATAAAAGTATGCAGTCCACTGCATACATCCCACTTCGGCGCAAAACTTCCGTGTCTGCAACTCTGGCGCCCCAGCCGATCCGCAGAATTCGTCGCAGACACTGCTGGTGGAACCGCTCGAGATATCGCACATCCCGCCGGTACATCGTCCACATTTCACTGCCGTATAGAAGAACGGACAGTACCATGGATTTGTACACCATCAGCTTCGTGCCAATGCTAAGCTGATGGTTGTTCCACACTCGGTACTCAAGCTTCCCGAATGCCGCCACTGCCTTCGACACGCGATTACGCAACTCAACGTGTAGCTGCTGATCAGTCGACATCACACTCCCAAGGTAGCAGAAGCGGGAGGTGGTTTCTAATACTTCAGCACCAATGCTGATTTGCGGCAATATTGAAGATTGCACCTCCGGTGAAGGCTGAAAGAGAGACAGTTTTGCTTGTGTTGATGGTGAGCCCGAATTTGGCCGCTGTCGAAGCCAGAGCACTAGTCATGTGCTGCAACTCATCCGCGTTGTGTGAAAACAACGCACAGTCGTCAGCAAACAGCAACATACGGATAGTTGTCTCACAGACTAGAGTTCTCGCATCGAAACGACGAATGTTCAGCAACCCACCATCAATACGGTGCTCCACACGAACACCGTAAGCACAAGCCACATCAAAAGCACAAGACAACATTGCATGAAGATAGATATTAAACAGGGTAGGAGCTAAGACACAGCCTTGCTTCACACCAGAGACAACTGTAAAGTCATCAGAGGTCTCTCCACTCAGCTGCACCCTCGCTCGCATACCACTGTGCAGACATTCAATTAAACTTACAAACTTACGCGGGCAACCAAACTTACCCAACACCAGCCACAGTGCCTCGCGGTTCACCGTATCAAATGCCTTGGTGAAATCAACAAAAGGCGAGTACAAAGGCTGGTGTCGTTCTCTGCACTTCTCTTGCAACTGACGAGCCGCAAACACCATATCTATAGTGCTGCGACCCGAACGGAATCCACATTGCTCTTCCGCCACGTTTGGTTCCACAATCTGACTCAAGAGGCGATTGAGCAGGATTCGGGCAATCACCTTGCCCACACAACTCAGCAAGTTGATGCCACGATAATTCGTGCAACATTGCTTGCTCCCTTTGCCCTTGTACAGTGGTAGCACAAGGGCATCCTTCAGCTCTAGAGGCACCTCCTCCTCAATCCACACGCGTTGCACCAAGTGGTGCAGCGCAGTCAACAACGCGGGTCCACCGTGTTTCAATACTTCAGGTGGGATCCCGTCACCTCCGGCACATTTGCCGTTTCGCAGCTGAGCAAGTGCTCTCTGCGTCTCATCCAGTCTCGGCGTATCCGCCAGATCCGCCTTCACATCGTGCTGCTTCAGGCCAATCAATGTACGCCAGTCGATCTCTGAACGGTTGTTCAAGAGATAGTCAAAGTGTTTCCGCCAGACCTGCATTATGTCTGCAGTCTGGGTGCAGGTAGCGCCTGAACTACCATCGATCAGTGTCCTCAGCGGCTCCAATCTCGGTCCATACACCGCCTTCAAGGAGTCAAAGAATTCCTTGTGTTGACGGCGTTCGGCGTAGCATTCCATCTGCTTCGCCTTCTCCGTCCACCATGCCTTTTTTATGCGACGGAGCTCTCGGGTCAGTCGCCGTCGAAGTTTGCGAAACTGACTACTCTTCCCCAAGTCACTGGGGTCTGCAACATGTGCAGCAAATGCTACATTCTTCTCTGACACCAATGCGTCAATCGTCACATTGTTGTCATCAAACCAATCAGGCCGCTTACAGTTTGCGCGCCCGATGGTCTCCTCCGCAGCAGCTGTCACCTGGTCGCGAATGTGGTGCCACAGGTCGCCCACTGTGGCTATATACAGTCCACATCACCACACAGGCGTGCAGCCATCGCCTTCTCCAGCTCAGTACGTTTCGCCACAGTACCGAGGGAGAGAATGTTAAATTTACGCCGATTCACGGCGGGAGTGCAATACATCGATTTACGAAAATATATGTACAGTTTGGTCCGCACCAACTTGTGATCAGTGCCACACTCAGCTCCACGCAGTACACGTGTCATGCGCACTTCACGCATATCACGCTGACGTACGATGACATAGTCGAGCAGGTGAGCGTGACCACTCCGTGGGTGCGTCCAAGTTGCTATATCACTCGCACTCAGTGCAAACCGAGTGTTCGTGATCGTCAGGCCGTGAGTGGCACACAGTGAGAGCAGCCTGTCACCGTTCGCATTCGCTGAACCAATGCCATGCGGACCGATAAGATCTGTCCACGCTGATGCATCACGCCCAACGCGCGCGTTGAAAGCACCCAGCAGAAATAGTCGGTCGCTCTTCGTCACAGACCGTATCACGGAGGATAGCTCAGTGTAGAACTGATCACGCGTGTCATCAGGATAACACATGGTCGGACCGTACGTGCTTATGAAAGTAGCAAACTTACCTCTTCCGAGTCGTAGGCGAACAGTCATCAGTCGCGCGCTGATGCCCGTTGGTTCACCCACCAGCTGGCCATTCAGGCGATCGGATATTGCAAATCCGACCCCATGTTCACGTGGTGCTGAGGCGGCGTTCCCCACCCAGTAGAATGTGTAGCCAGCACCTGCTTCATGTAACTTACCTTGCTCAGCGAGCCGAGTTTCACTGAGCGCCGCAATATCGATGTTGTAGCGCGCCAGCTCCATTGCGACCAGTGCAGTGCGTCGCTCCGGGCGCTCGCTGGAGTTCCGGTCCAGTAGTGTGCGCACGTTCCAGCACCCGATACTGAGTGCTTTGCGCGCAGGCATACGATTGCATTGGTGGGCAATCGCACGCGAGGTGGTCGTTGTCCTTCGGAGGTTTGCTTGAGGGACTCCACCCGGAGCCTTTGGCTCAATAGCCTGACCCACAAGGCAGTGGGTGGTTTGGAGGTTTGCTTGAGGGACTCCGCCCGGAGCCTTTGGCTCAATAGCCTGACCCACAAGGCAGTGGAGAGCAGATCCAGCTCGGGAATGTGAATGCAGAGACAGATGGGGATCTGCTTGACGGCCGTCACACGCAGCCTTTGAGGTTCTGGAACAGTTATCATATGTTTTGCGACCGTAATTGGATACGCACCTGCGACCACGGCCAGACGCAGGTGGGTTTTCGGTGGGTTTGCACCAATTTGACCAGGGGCTGCCTGGCTTGAGGCGGGCAGTAGCAAACCATTGAACACCCGGAGGTGTCCTCCCACCGTCAGAGACAATGCGTGGCACTCGTGCTCTACGCCAATCGAGCATTGAGAATATCACCCGTAACCTGTTGTCTCCCATGGCTAGGTTTTACGGGAAGTGGGCCATCGATCACTTCCTAACCTCCGGAGAGGATGGACTAGGATACTGCCAGGGCGCCCAATCCTGACAGGAGAACGACTCGGGTCCTCAGCCAAAGCCTTCGATTAAATGAACACCCGAAAGGCAGCGGGTCTAGCACATGGTCAGTTAGCTGACTCATGCGGATTGGTGTCCTGGATCTTAGCAGGGAGAAGGGCGAAACTTAACTCCCACCCAGCGGTCGCCACGTGGAGGCGCCCAGGACATGAGACTGTGGCGCAACAGTAGCAGCAGTGGGTAGACCATCTGTCAGGATCTAGCCACGACCAGCCTCAGCGCACCATAGGCTCTCCCGCCATATACGATGCTTCTATCAACTATGCGGACGTTCCCCAGTTCATGCGTGACATTTTTAGCTCACTTCTTTGTGATTTATAACCCAGTCTCCGTTCCACCAATCTCGTTGTAGAGTCATGATTTGAACCATTTGGATGTGTTTGGTACAAACTCTCCGATCATAGGTGTCACAACTTTTTCCGAATGAGATCCAATTCTCTCTTAATGGGCTCCGGCCATCGTGTTACTGCTTGGGACACCCTTATTGCCGTTTTCGACATTGGTTGTCGGCCTCTTACTCGCATTTTCACCGCACAAGGTTTTCATCACTTGGTACCCAGCCTCTTGCTTTTGTCCCCCCCCCCCAGGCATCGAAACGGTCACTCCACTCGAAACTTGGTATTGGCGAATATCTAAATTGATCGCTTCGCAACTCGACCACCACTCTAACTGAATTGGTGTTGCTTCGTTGCTCCTCCTTTGGGTGGAAGCGCACGTTTTCTAAGCACCTACAGGGCATTCAACCATTCACCATTTGTTGACTTTTCGTCACTTTGGACGAGTTACCAAGTTGCTGACGACCAAGTGATAGTCTGTCCATGCAACGACCACCAACATCGTAGTAACGTAGATAGGGCTAAGTGCGTCGGTTGATCATTTATATTAAGGGATTTTGTCTCTTCTACCCAACTCATTGTGACGAGAGATTCGACTAGGATGGTCATTAATCCGATACTATGGGTTAACCGAAGTAAACCAACTGTGTATTGCTGTTTCCACGCGCTCTCATAGATAGGTGAGCTATGCGTCCTACTCTCTCCTCGAATATCCATCATATAAACCATGGCCAACAATCATACCCTTTGGAATGTGCTTGGTTTCTCTCCCTCGTTGACGCATCTGCGATTCGAAATCACTTGATGTTATTGTAATCGAAAGCGATATACTCTTCTCCCATCAATGTCTCTGTTTTCATCCGGCCACCAGCTGTCTCCGCTTGCGACTTGCCCCCTCCTCGATGTTTGACTACCTCCCGGTGCCTCTGGGCACCAATATCTGCCTGATATCGGTCATGTATAAGCTTTTTCTAGATGATAAATTACTAAGCAACCCTATGGTGTCTTTTAAATCGCTACTATGGGAACAAAGATGGACTTTCTTGATCTTGGGTTTCTGTTACGGGAACTCACGTGTCGCCTCAAAGCTACGACGCAATCCCGACGCATCGCACGCCACGTTCCAGTATGCGACGTTATCTTACAAACTCATTCTTCACTTTATTGGTTACGCTTTAAAATCAAAGTTGTACAGTCATGTATTCTCTTTCATGAGGCGTGCGTCGCCGGGCTTGTGGTAAATGGTCGTTATATCTGCCGAGCTGGTTCTTCGGATAACGTTATCAACTCCTCTAGCCCAATATTTACAATCTTTTGCAGCCGTCATCGAAACTGCGACTATTGCGCAATTTTTATGGTGCTTGCGTTCCTCGGAACAACTGCATAGTATCTCTCTCTAGCGAACACATTTTTGACCACTACTACACTTCGCCCTCGTTTCATCTCTGCCACAGTGCACTTTTTTCTCGCTTCCAGGACAAAGCACTGCACAACTTAGCGAAGCCACATCTGAGCTGGAGCGATCGCGTCGTCTGGTCTGGGATCAGTCGTATTTAACTGCGATTCGAGAAGCGCGTCGATTGCTCACTGAAGGTCTCAACCTGAACCCCGATTGTAAGATACTTTACCTCGAGTTAGTGAAGCTCGAGGCCTCAGCTGCCGACTTCTTCAACACGCATATTATCCCTCGGTTACCCTTGGGGGCAACCGATGGGACAGGAGTAAAAAGCGAATTCCGGGGGAAGAAGATGAAAAAGCGCTACGAGCTGTTGTGCAAAAAGGCCGCTGAAGATAACGCTATTTTTGTAAGTCATTTCTGAACTGACAGTGACTGTTTATTCACATGTTTTGTGCGGCTTGTAACTGTTACATTTGTTGAACTCCTCGCGTCAGTGTGACGCATCGTAGTCGCTTTATAACCACCAATTGTTATGCCTTGGTTTATGTTCATCGGTCACCCTTGTATAAGGTTAGTCTTCCTCGGAGTGAGCTGCATACACCAAGCTCATACACTGGTGCCACGATATGACGAAAGGAAAATGCATTTCCGTGACTGTTCTGTTTAATTGTTCTTTTTCTATCTAAGACTTTCGGTTCGCTTATCTCCCGACGACTCCGTACTTATGCATCATTTGTCTCTAATGATAGTCAAACAACGATGCTCTGAGACATGGTCACTTGCAGTCAGCTTCAGAGCTACTACACGTCATTTCTGCAATTCGTTACCCAACTTCACTAGTTCGTGATGTTGCTCTACGCTGCTATCCAGGGATTGACCACTTTATTTACTTGAATCATCTTTTATGGTACATGCATGGATTCGGTGACACTTGTTTATTTAGCCTCTCCTAATTCCTGCTCTTCGAGAACGTGTTATCGAAAACAACTCAGTAATGTTCCTGCTCATTTGAAGCACCGACCCATGGAAGCCTTCATTTAGAAAGATATTAACTGGATTCATTCTCAGCTGTTTCGGCCAAGCAGTTGTTCGCGGCATTTTGAGTGTGTCGTGATGCCTTTAAATTGCTTGAATCTGCCAAGAGCATAGACGCCGGGCCTCTTACCTTCAAGCTGATCCTGCACAAACTTGCTCTGTTGAAACGGAACAAAGCGCCTGAATCCGACAACTTGTCCTCATCGGGGCTAAAGGACGACGAAGTATCACAGATTGTCGATCTACCTTTTTTATTCAACCCTAAACGGAGCACCGAAGAGCCTTTCTCGGGCTCGTGGTCGTCGATCGTTATACCCCTTTCCGTAAATAGTTTCATAACATAGATCATCGAAATGCCAGCCTTAATACAGTTGCTTCTCAATTTTTCAAATCTGTCGCAGCTGTTCACTGGTGCTCGTGCGAGGTGAATCAGTCAAAGCAGGCCAGCTTTGACTTCCGCAGAAAATGCATTGACCACATGTCTGCGCGTCATAAACTATCAGGATAGCGGTATACATACCAACTTCCCACCACTGATACCTCTCTTGACTTGAAAGCTGCCTTCGCTTCGGTTGATCGCCTAGTTTTTGGCTTTGCTTGTCCGTTGCCGGTGTATCGGGGAAATTCATCCCCTTTCCAGTATGTCCGTCGTAACTGTCGAGTCTATGTGGGCAACCATCTTATGAGTACCTCTCCATATAAGGTGCGTCAAGGTCATTCGGTGTCCTTTTTTCCACATCCTCTTATGGGCAAAATGAACCTACATAACTCTTTTGTCTGTTTCTTCTGCAGTAAAGTTTCCGTCTTGTGTGCAGTTGACAAACTGAAAGTACGCAGACAACATGTCTTAGTTGAAGTCGAACACAACATCTGTAAACATTTCTGGTTAGGTCCACTCGAAGAGCTGCATGTTTTGGTATGTGCTTCACATCTTCACCGCTTGAAATGCCGTTGAAGGACTTAGGATGACACACCGAATCTTGGCTGATCTGCTTATACAAGTGGATATATCGTCTCTTGCATTCGTATCACTCCACCTATTACTACTGTTCGTTTGAATTTCATAACTATCACTTACGGAAACTCTTGGATACTCCATTGTACTTCGGGTCATCCGAAACAGGTTTACACTGCGATAGCCTCAGTGCTGTTCTACTGGGCACACACCCTGTGCACGATGGAGAAGGATAAAATGACCGCGCGGAAAGAAGCAGTGGGCAAACTAAGTACTTTACCTACCGAGGCTAGTCAAATGCCGGTTACCTAAAGTGATAAACCAACAGTTAACACCCATAACCGAGTGGATGGGAACAGTAGGAATTCCCTACAAGGAAGGCACCTCGTAGGCAATTCAGAGGGTACAAAACAAGGAAACTATAGTGGTGGTCGTTCGTCTAGGTCAAATACTACGTTGAACTCTAGTGCACCTGAAGGGGACCCCCTTCCCAAGGATTGGACAACTAACTGCATATATAAAATCAAATGTATGGATTGTACGCATGTACATAGACCAAGCTGCGAGAGAGTTACGCATACGAATTTCGGTGCACAATAGACCCATTTCACGACCACCGACGAATCATTTCGAATCCCAGGCAATATTAAGGGACACGTCCGTTGTGTATGCATTAGGCACGGGTCAGCAGATCGACCTGGATAACGAAGAGATCATTGGGAGTAGTATACGATCAATACTCCAGCGCTTGATCGCCGAGGCGTTGGAAATTGCTAAATCGGACAGCTTTGTGAATAGAATGGAGGGGGTAGAGCTCTCAAGTTCATGGCGAGCGATCTTACTCCGGTCATTCCGACGACCGTCGGTGCATGGGTCACATTTTGTAAGGTTAAACTCAACTCCCGTTGTGACAACTATGATCTTATCCGTCAATGCCATGACTCACAGGGAAAAACCTGGACTATTCGCACTGTGATTGAACCACCTGAGATGACATCTCGCAATTGGACTGTAATAACACCTTGACTCAACTCTCGGGTATCGCGGCTATCTTCCATTTTCACTGTAGAATGCCACTCCAACTGCATACTGATTCACTTGGCTTGACGAACCTATTGTGTCAAAAGCGAAACGTTGCCCAACAACCATATATATAGTTGACGGCATCCGGTTTCGGATTTCCCTGTCACTGTGGCCAGCCACAGGACGCCTGCGCCTGCAGAGGGACCATGGATGGCTTGCGCTGAACCACCCACAGCTCCATCCACGCACACCATATCCAGTGTAAACCCGAAGGAATAAAACCGGGAGGCATGTGGACGGGAGCCACGTTTCATCAACGGAGCCGGCCCACGCTCCTTCACAGGCAAACACAAGCACGCTGTATTTGGGGAATCAAGTGCACACAAGGCGGTGGCTGGACCGTAGTCCGCTCCACACTGAGTGCATAGAACCAATCTTCGAGCCTAACACGGCCACATGAACCGTGCACCCCGTCCCCTCCAGCAACGATCAACTGTTTCCTGGAGCCAGTATGAACGAGGTAGTGGGTAATAGACAAGTAGACACCAAGTCAACATACACATCAAACGCACGTATGCTATTTAATTAAGGTTTATGTCACCGTTTCCTTATGCATTAATCGAGTTTTTCTCATTCTCATTTTCTTTCTCTCTCTCTCAAGTGTTTGGCTGTTGTTTGACATCCCAGGTGTGGCTGCGCTTGATGTGCATGTTGACAAGGTGCCTACCTGTCTATTACCCACTACCTCGTCCATACTGGCTCCAGGAGACAGTTGGTCGTTGCTGGAGTGGACGGGGTGCACGGTCCTTGTGGTCGTGCTAGGCTCGAAGAGTGGTTCCATGCACTCAGTGTGGAGCGGACTACGGTCCAGCCACCGCCTTGTGTGCGCTTGATTCCCCAAATACAGCGTGCTTGTGTTTGTCTGTGAAGGAGCGTGGGCCGGCTCCGTTGATGAAACGTGGCTCCCATCCACATGCCTCCCGGTCTTATTCCTTCGGGTTTACACTGGATATGGTGTGTGTGTGTGTGTGTGTGTGTGTGTGTGTGTGTGGATGGAGCTGTGGGTGGTGCAGCGCAAGCCATCCATGGTCCCTCTGTAGGCGCAGGCGTCCTGTGGCTGACCACAGTGACAGGCAAATCCGAAACCGGATGCCGCCAACCATGTCCGCCTACGTATACTGTGGTAGCCGCAGCTTCAGTGGATCGACCAATTTATCGATTAGGACAGCTGACCTTCTGCCTCGCTTTGAATCGCTAACCTTTTTCGCGCTTCACCAGCCTATCCCGCTTCAACTTTCTATTTTATAATTGTAAACGCCTGATGAGATTTATCGAAAAGAGTACTCTTCGCTACCCTGTGTTTTCTTAATTCCATGGGTATAATATTCAATATTACCAATTATAATATAATTGGCTGAATGCCGCAACACATGAGGAACAAATAGCTTGAAAGGGAAAGCAACTACTAGGGTAGAAGACTTTCACAGCACGTGCGCCAATACGCACGGTCCTTGGCCATATCCTCCAGCGTTTGCAATCAGATGTGCTCGGGTCCTTTCGTCCCCAGCCCGGAAGTCGGGAACATCCGACAACAGTTAGCTTCAACGCTTGCCCCTTAACGCATTGGATCCAAGTTTTACATTGCCTTCTTTTTGGTCATTTCCAATCCACACCTGTGCTCGCGGATAAGGCTCGTCGTGGTAGCCGTTGAGTAGACATGCGGAGCACATGCCTAAGCCAGCGAAGCTTCCGCAGTGAAGTGATGCTATCAATCGGTCGGCGGAGTTCTTTAGATCTGAAGACTCGCCGACAGACTTCCTCATTACTGATGTGATGCTGCCATCGAACACCAGCAGTGCTTCGCCGGCAGCGGTGCTCGAAGACAGATGGCCGCTGAACATCGCTTTTGCGAACGCGCCAAGTCTCACAGCCGTACAGCAGAATCGCTCGTACCGTGGCATTATAGACTCGGCCCTTGAGAGCGAGGCTGAGGTCACGACGAAGCCACAGGTGACGAAGGTTAGCAAAATCGGATCTATCCTTGGAGACACACAGGGAGACCTAATCTGTCAAATCGCAAATACTAAGAAAACTACCAAGATAAATGAACCTATCGAGCACTTCCAGCGGATGGCCCGAAAGTGTGAGAGAAAGACATGCGCTTGGCCACTCCTATAATAGGACTTTGCATTTGAAAGGGGCAAAGGTCAACCCAAATTGGGAGGCGGACATCTCCAGTCTGAGCAGCACATGCTGGGCGGCTTGGGAGGGCTCGTAAATCACACCGATGTTATCGGCATACTCTAAGTCCCGAAGGGGGTCACGAGAGAGCAGTTCAACACAAACATACCAACCGATTGTTTCCAAACCTCTTTGAACTCAAAACCGGAATGTATTTTTTGGTCAGGGAAAGGGTTTATAGCACTATGTTGCAGTCCATACTGTTTTGTCCATCAGAGACCACATCAGTAGTTGATTCTTTTATTCGCCGTAGCGCAGTCGCTCGGTTATTGGATCTTCTGTGTTTGGCCTGTAACATTTGAGCACTTGTCCCCGATCTTAATATTATTGTTTACATCATATTACTTTTTTGCTGAAATTTTCTTCTCTTGTTTCACCCCGCCCACCGTTGTTACTTATCACAATTGTTGCGATGCACGTCAGAGTAGCTGGATCTGTTGCAGTTGGGCGCTTCGATTATAGTTATTTCAAAGAACTATGCACAGTACTGTTGAACAACGAATGCCCCAGAATCGTTGGCTGGATATTCGAAGCACTAAGCCCAAACAGCGTGAGCAGTACGCGTTCTGTTAGCCAACTTACTAATAGACTGAATGCTGTGTTAGTGGGCATCAACCGAGTGTCTTGGGTGTTACTCGCCCAATAGTTCTGCCAACAGCAGCTCACTGGTCACACCTGACGGAAGTCAGAATCAAACTTGATGTTCGATGCCCCGCGACCACAGCCTTTTCACACTCCACCGAAGCCCAGCTTTCCTTTGACGTGGTTCTCCATTCAGCCTCGCAGCGTTCAATCTTCGCACTCTGATGCAGTTCTGACATTAAGCATGCCTGACCTGCACTCTTGAGACGCTCTCGGTAGACATCTGGTGCCTCTCAGAAACTGGATAGCAAAACACCATCATCAGAATGGCCTCTCCTGCAAACTCTGACGTCAAATACCAGTTGCGATGGTCCGGTGATCCAGAGGCTGCCTCTTCTGGCCAGGCTGGCGTTGGAGTTGCTCTGAGTGACAATACTTAGTCCGTCCTGCTTGACTGGATCCCAGTCATATGGCTGTATCCGGTTTCGGATTTGCTTGTCGTTGTGACCAGGCACAGGACGTTTTCGCTTACAGAGGGACCATGGATGGCTTGCGCTGCACCACCCACAGCTCCATCCACACACACACACACACACACACACACCATATCCATTGTAAACCCGAAGGAATAAAGCCGGGAGACATGTGGACGGGAGCCACGTTTCATCAACGGAGCCGGCCCACATTCCTTCACAGCAAACACAAGCATGCTGTATTTGGGGAATCAAGTGCACACAAGGCGGTGGCTGGACCGTAGTCCGCTCCACACTGAGTGCATGGAACCGCTGTTCGATCCTAACACGGCCACAAGGACCGTGCATCCCGTCCCCTCTAGCAACGACCAACTGTTTCCTGGAGCCAGTATGAACGAGATAGTGGGTAATAGACAAGTAGACACTAAGTCAACATGCACATCAAGCGCAGCCACACCTGGGATGTCAAACAACAGGCAATCTTTCGAAATGCGATATCGAATAAAGTAAACGCACAAGCGACATAAATACTCGCTAGATGAGCATATATAAGAAATTGGTTATAAGTGAATCCGTGCTAAGTACAAAATGTCCGAAAGTTATTTAAAAAATGCCACGCGATAAAATTATGCAACTTTACCACACTTTGCATGAGGGACGTGTGCAATTTGGGAGAAGAATATCAAGTACGCAGAACAAACCAAATTAAATGTTATGAAATGTATCCAGCTTAGAAAGACCTAGTTTAAGTGTAGGTTGGTTTAGCCCAACTGCGGTGACGAAGCACCAAGAATGCAACCTCAGCATGCATATATATATATATATATATATATATATACATATACATATACATATATAGTGTATAAATGCCATGGTAGCCAAACCTTGCGTCAAGAACGGGCACACCAAATGTCACAAACAGGAACTTCTGTTATTTCAGCCTGCATTCGGAAAGTTTTTCGTATCCCATTTTGATGATCAAATTGGAAGCTTTCATCAAATGTAACTTTGAGCTCACATCGCCTCTAGTTGCCAGGTGGCTGATACACCGCGGCTGTCCGCTACGCCTAGGTTTGGTTCAGTGTCAAGTACTTTTTGGCAAAATCTTGTCACTTTACAATAGAACAGAGGGAAGTTTGAATGGTGTAAGTAGCAATTCATCACATCTAGGCTCAGTACCTAACTTAAACCGCCAATTTACTTATGGCATCAAAAAGTGTTTGGTCTGCGTAATGTATACCAAAGAGTCGTAATGGTTTTGAATGGTATACGTCGAAATTCCTTCGTCACGTGGTAATGGGTTCTACTCTATCCTCCGCACAGCAGTAACGTGTAATTTAATGGATAGCGAGAGGCGCTATATCGCATATATACCATTTCTCAATTGCTTGCACCCTAAGCGCAATCGCTTTCATCCGTAGTGCAACAGCTTGCATCCTTGGCGCAAAAACTATAATCCGAGAGTCATGGAAACTTGCATCCACGACTTCAGACATCTGCTTGTTTAGGTGCGCATCAGCATTACACAATAAGGGAGTGGAAGCAGGGGCTTGTGCACTAACTGGTTCCAAACCCTAAAGCTTCGGATGTGAAGGTAAGGCGAAGTCCGCACAGTACCGGACGATCGCAGACATGGCAGTGTACATGTCCGGAACACGGGGTCACGCCTCCTGACTTTATCAAGCCCGGTGTGAATGAAGTAAAACACCGTTCCCTCTGATCATCCATGTCTCATCTGTCCCCTCCTCTTAAACGGACATCTCGTTCACTCGCTCAAGCTCTCGTTATGAGACCGTTTTGACTTCATTACTAACGGACTCGATCAAGCCAAGGGGCTTGACCCCGTGTTCCGAACATGTTCACTGCCACGTCTGCGTTCCTTCGGAACTGTGCTGACCTCGCCTTATCTTCACATCCCAGGCTTTGGCGTTTTTAAGCAGTTAGTGAGCCAGCCCCCGCTTTCACCCCCTTATTGTGTAATGCTAGTGCGCACATACACGAGCGAATGGCTGAAGTCGTGGATGCAATTTTCCATGACTCTCGGATTATAGTTTTTGCGCCAAGGATGCAAGCTGCTACACTACAGATGAAAGCGGTTGCGTTAAGGGTGCACTCAATTGCGAAATGGCATGGTAACTTAGTGACGACGGTCGTTACCGTCCACCGTAACTCAGTGGTCTTAACTGCAGACTGGTAGCAGTCGGGTTGCGGGTTCGTGCCTCAAAGGATGAAACGGCCGTACATGGCTTTCCCGGTCGTGTGATAACTGCGTGACTGAGTTTAGATTTCGTAAACCATTCTGTGACCGTTCTATGTCCGTTAGTACGTCAGCGCTGGCGACAAGGGGTCAGTTCTTCCTGGAGTAGTCCAGACCTCTGACCAGCACACCATTTTTTGTTGCAATGCATCGTTACATGTTACTCTTTTAACTGATGAGCTAGGGCCTCATCCCCACATACCTAGTGAGAAATTTGAAGACACACGTCTGTCTTTCGGATGCGCACGTTGGCTTCCACCTTCCTCTGCTAATCCTAGTCGCTGTAACTTAATCTTCCCCCCATCCAGTCTCCCTTCGTTGTCGAAATCCGTATGCACTGATCTCGTTATAACCCATCAGATGCTCACCTCTTAGTTACTACGCAAATCTTGTTGCCGGCATCCAACCCCTCTTTATCGTATTACGACAAATGGTCCCTATGAACTAATTTGCACTGTCACAGCTCGTTTTCGATGCATCAGCAGACGTCGGCTTGACGCCAGTTTTACCGCAGAAACATGTGTATAGCTAACATCAATCGTTACCACTCGATCTGGACGATTCACTACACAGCCTCAATCTATATATTTTCTCAGCCAATTGAATCCATAGCGTCTGAAAATTCCCCCTTAAGGAAATTATATTCTTCTACAGATCTTTAAAGATCGCCCATAGCGCTTTCAAGTTAAATCCATCGGACACGAACGCCCCTAAATGCTTCGCTTCATTGAGTGACCACATCCAAATCAGACATTGTCATCTCATTCTGTCTGCTCATCTGTTATAATACCTTCTCATTTGAGATTGGTAACTCAACGAACAGCACGTATTTTTTAGAAATGTTTGCGCCCGTTGGATTCAATTTGAAAGCGTTATCGGCCATGTTGTAAGATCTATGGAGGAATATGATTTCTGTAAAGAGGAATTTGAAAGAGCTATAAATTCAGTTGGTTGCGAAAAGGTATGGGGATTCCCCTTTTGGGTTTGACAGTCGCGTGGTCTATTTCTTATTTCGGGCCTATTTTTTGCTCGTAACGCAAACGTTCTTCACGGTTATGTTTTGGCGCCACACCCTTTCATTTGTAATCGATTATGAAAACGTTCTGTCATTTTGCGTTGCAGTTTTGCTCGTTTTTATTCTGTGAACTCAGTACTCTTCCACACGTTAAATAGCTAGCGATATTCCATACACATCCCGCTGAATGTACCGGTCGGCTGTCTCGGTCAGACTCAAAGGCCCCGGTCGTTCGCCTGTTTGTCATTTACCGGCCCGTTGCCTTAAGGTTCACAAGTCTGCCTAGGGACCAGGCAACCCTCGCAGTATCCTTAGCCCACGTGCGACTGGTGGTGGTTGCGCGGCAGCGAAGCGTCTGTACTGCCTGCCGGAGCACTGCTGATGCCTTTCTCCTTTCTTTCTGTTTATCTCTCAAGGCTACCATAGCACTTGATCCGGAGGGCCCACTCACGGCCATTTACTCCTCTTCTCTCCCTGATGGTGGTGTCTGGATCTACTTCGTCCATCATAGCACCTTCTCAGCTTAGGAATTTCTATGTCCTTTACCTTCAACGGTACAGTTTCCTGTATAACCGAGCTTTTCTTTGACCGTCGTTTTGGAGCAATCTCGAGCAGGAATTCTCCAGCACTGTTTCACATGTTGTTGTGTTGTACTCCACACGGGCACAATCGTCGATATTACATCTTCACTTTGAAGGTGAGGTTATATTGGAAAACCCCTTGTCCGCACACATTACTTTGATACACTTATCCATTTCCTCTTCGTTCAGATGACTCAAGTCATTGAGGACGTACCTTACGTGGCCTCTGGTCAAGCGCTCAAGTTGGCCATGGAGACTGTGATGGAACGTTGGCCCAAAGATTTGGAGGCGATAGAGGCTCTACACCAAGTCGCCTCTACAATTCCCCGTGCGGTTCCTGCCTCTATGTTCGCCGAAATTTCGGCATCGTAAGTGATACGCACAGTTCAGACTGCTCTGGATTTCATTCTGTTTGCTTTTCACTGATTCCATTGCCTAGCTTAGAACTTATTGTGACAACTATTGACACTGTCGATTTGCCTGTGCTAACACTCAACAGAAACAGCATTATCCCGGTACTTTCCACTGATGTTTCGCCGTCATACAGCCATGGGGATCTCACCAATGAGGAATTCTACTCACATAGAGGAGAAAGACGGTTTAATGAAAACCGGGATACCCCAAACGTTCGGACTCAAGGCACCTACAGATTGTCAACAACGCACGATCACAAGTGTCATGTGGGGCGATAAGGCAGTATCGACACGATTACTCCCTTGCGGTTTTTATTCTCCAACGCCATAAGGTGCATGAACCTGCAGGTAACCTAGCACCAGGCATACTTTAAACCGTCAGCCCAACTAGGGGTCAACATGTGACGCAGTTCATCGCAGACACTGGACCTTAACGTAATGCGATGGTTTTCGTGCCCCGGTGGTGCTTCTGGCACTATCAGTCACACCAGCTTTGTCAGTGGTTGGAGGCCAGACTAACTCAGTCTTCTGCCTCTCCATCTTGGGATTTGGGTAAAATTGGTTTCTTGTTCCTTAAATTGCACTCTGTATATCCCATTGCCAAACTACCTTTGCTTTGCAATCAGCTGTTCAAATCAAAAACTTTAGTTGAGGACGCTACTCGTTCCCCTGTCTAGATCTGGATAATCTGATAATATCCTGCCCACGCAATACAATGAATTTCTCTTCAGTCTCCGATGCTTTGGCCATCGCATAGGGTAATAAATAGCGCCCTGTTTGGTGCATCGCGCAGGATAGATAAGGATGAGGACGTTGCTGCTCAAGCCTCTCCATCTTCTTATTCCCACTGCGCTTTTTCATTCCAATCTCCTTTCAACTTCACTCTTATCCTTCCTGTTTCCAACCCTTCAATTCTTGCATTTTCCCCACTTTCTTTTGATAAGCGTTTGTTTATTAGTTTCAACCGGTACACAATCCCGGAGCGTCGGTTCTCCGTTGTCGACAACTCCATGTCCAAACATGCAGACAACCTCAGTTCATCCGCTTCTCTTTGGAGCCCTCAGTCCTCTCTAAGACTGGCATACTGCAATCTGCGCACTTTTTTTACAAATCTGACAACATTCAGTACTTACCAAGACACTAGAAATCCTATCGATCGTTTTCTGCTGCTTATCTGGAACCCGCCTGAAAGATTCTAACTCTGTGATCACCCTGGGATCCCCTTCATATGACGCAGATGTCACTATGTAATTGCATCTATCCGGTGATAATGCAGCTTCGAATGCCGGCCTAGACGATGGGGATATTGCTCTTAAATCTCGAGCTGAAGCTGATATGATAGACCGGATACAAATCAATGACCAGCTTTACACTACCCAACTAGCTGTTTTCGCAACCGGGGTGTTGAAGGAAGAAAAGGAGGAAATCGATGGTATATTCGAGAGGAACAAAGTCCCTCACTTCGAGGTTGGCCTCGGTTGGAGCCTCTCAACTCTATGGTTGGGGTCCGAAAGATGATGAAAGCCTTTGGTTGGATGCATTTATTGACATGGTGAAGAACCGACCCCAATGGTGCATGTGTTGTGGGCCTCTTCATTTCGCCGTCTCCGGGTTAGCGTCCCCTTCCAACTACCATATCGCTCTTAATGGACAATACAAACCAAATTATACTGATATTCGAACTAAAATTATCAGAAGACGTAGGTTGTTGGAGGTCACTGTCGTTTTCTGCATAATCTTCAGTTGAGTACACGCAACTAACAAAGAATTCTAAATGACGTCACATGAAATCGATTGATTGCCAACTGATTTTCCGTTGGTGCGATACACGCTATCCCGGTAGACTTAGTGTTAATGTCAACTGGTTTTGAGCACAGGGTATGCACGAAATGATAGTCTCACCCCACAATTGTCTTTGCTATTCTTATTCGGAATTACAGAAGGAATTTCAGGTTTCAGAGTGCAATCCAACCTGCCCATGGCGACCAGTCACAAATATCCCCAACGATTTTCCTATACTTTCTCACTGGTCTTAATCTGTTTATGGCGTTCACCTGTCTAACACAACCGCAACCACGCTTTTATGGTCCCCAGGCGTTTAGCACCTGCTTGAGGCGATCAACACTAGCACGACTGGCCGAGATTGCGAGTAGAGGTGTCATGAAAGTTTGCCACCGTATCGCACAGATAGCTCAGCTTTCGTTTTAAGGTGTCATAATTGTCCCAGAAACCACACCATATGCCCTGCACTGATTCATTATCGCCCAGGTTCATGCATTCTGTGTCTCCGTCTTCGATTCCCCATACGCTTGTTAATATCCCCACTGTCGCAATTTACCATTTCAGGTTGCGTAACTCCTCCAATACTACTTGTTTGTTCTCACTTCAGGGGTCACACTGCCTTCATACCAAACTTGTCCAATGACACATCACCCCCCTAGACATCACCCTATGTAACTAACGCGTGTATCCTGCTATAGCAGTGGTTCCCAACCTTTTAGACGCCGTTACCCACAAAGGGGGTTGCCCACCAGACTTTTACCCCCAAACTTTCGAAAGACTACCACGTAATAACTATTGCACATTTCGCTCTAAAGTTCAAAAACAAATGTCATATGTAGTTTCACGTGCTCATGCAATTGAAGGAAACACCCCTTCTCACTACATAATTATCCGACTTAAGTACGAGAAGTGATGGGTATCCGGAATCTCCCTCGACAAATAAACGAAAGAAAACAGTACTTTTAGTTCAAAATTCTATGCAAACAAGAGGCGATATACATCAATGAGACGGTTGGTATTGTTTGGTGGTAACCAATATCGTGGTAATATCGTGGTAACACCACGATCTCATTACTTAGCCTTATATAATTTTGCATAATAATTTATTTTTTTGGGTGCACAGCAGCCGGCTGGTAGCTTACCGGAACGATGCCCATCCGTTACCGGTAGCTCAGCCAGCTTTCACCAGTTTTTTCTCTCTCCTTTTTTGTATTGCGGCACAGTAGCTGAGGTGTTTCCCACCTCTAGCTAACGTGTATGATGATGATGATGATGTTTGGTGGTAACAATTTCCGGTATATTTGGTGCAGTTTCGGCCAATGCACATCGCAAGTCGTGCTCCAAGTTCATTCGATTCCTTGCTTTTGTTTTCATTACCATCATTGTCGAAAATGCACTTTTACATTTATAAGTTGTTGCAAATGGGATCAATATTCTCAATGCGCTTTCCGACAGTAATGGATACTCTTCACCTATCTTTGCCCAAAGTCTTACTAGTTGCGTGCTTTGAAAATCTACCTTCAATCCGCTGTCCTCGCGCATTCCTAGGAATTGTACCTTGATTTCGAATTCAGTATCTGGAAATATTCCTTCAGCTACTGTAAACGGTCTTAGCACCCAGGCACTTAATTGGCGAGTTTCCAAATCAGGAAAATATTTGCTGATGGAATTCATCACTGATGACAAGTGGCAAGATATTTCATTCGTGAATGCGCATTTTTCATTTCTTTCAACTAGCACCGCCGTTAGTTCTGGAACTATCGCCACGTCGTCAACATCAACCGAGCGCTGGTAAAGCTGCAGTTTGCGAAGGAAACCGGCTACTCTATCCTGAGCGACTAAAATGTTCATCATATTCCCTTGCAGGCTGAGGTTAAGCGCATTGATTTCTCCAAAGAAATCAGCAAGATAAGCAAGTTTCGAAATAAACACGCTGTCCGTTATAATAAAGTGTAACTCGTTTCCCTTACCCTTTGCATCTCTTTTCTTCGAAGAAAGATTGCAATTTCCTCTCGAAACTGAAGCACTCGGTGCAACATCCTGCCTCGTGACAACCAACGCATAACTGTGTGCAATAGTAGCACGTCGAATTTGCCTCCAAATTCATTACACAACTCTTTGAAGATTCTTGTGTGGGTTGCACTACCGCGAATGACATTTACTATCTTTACTACTTTGGTTAACATGTCAAGTAAAGCAGGTGGAAGAGTGCTCACTGCTAAAGCATAACGATGTATGATGCAATGACTAAAGGTAGCGTGCGGAGCAACATTTTTGACCAATGTTTGGAATCCGGAACGGACGCCCAACATGGCTGGTGCTCCGTCTGTACAGACACCCACTAACTTCGACCACAGTAGCATGTTTTCCTCGAGGAACTTCTTTACTATTCGGAAGACATCTTCGCCACGCATAGTCGTGCTCAAGGATTCTGAGAACAAATACTCTTCTTTGAAGCTATCATTTTTTAGGTACCGAACATACACAAGTAGTTGGGAACAGGACGCTACGTCGCTCGACTCATCTAACTGGATTGCAAAGAAGGAACTTGATCTTATTTCGTTGAGCACCGTGTTCAAAATTTGTTTGCTCATGTCCTCGATACGACTTTTGATGGTGTTGTTCGAAAGTGATATCATATTAATCTTCTCCGCATGATGTTCTCCAAGAACGAACTTAACCGCATCCATTATGCAAGGTTTGATGAGGTCCTCTCCTATGGTATGCGGCTTCTTGTTTTTGGCGTTTCGAAGTGCAATGCGATACGTAGCTTCAAGGCCAGCCTCATTTGCCTGAGAAAAGGAGCTCGATGTATCCAGGCGCGAAAGTTTAAGCGCAGCTTCTTTCCTTCTAAAGAATGTAATATTTTTTCCTATCAAATGGGCATGGCTTCGTTCGAAGTGCTCTTTCAATTTACTAGGTTTCATGCTCTCCGCCGTGAGCACTTTGCTGCACAAAACGCATTGCGGTTTCTCGACATTTTATCAGCGAAGTTAGTGAAGCCCCACTGCAGAAATGCTTCTTTGTAGGACCGCTTTTTTCTGGAAGACGTATTCCCTGCAAACAATTAAGTAGGTAGATGTTATGGATATATATCATTTATAGAAATTAATCTCGTTATTCCATGCAGGCGACATTATCGCAAACGTTCGCAGACAAATATATTTTTGTCG